CACACACACACACACACACACACACACACACACACACACACACACACACACACACACTTAAGACTAGCAGCCGAAGGGCACACAGACATACCAGACGGAGAACATACAGTGTGCTTCAGTGTCAAGGGTGGAAGAGATATTGGAGAGGATGTGAGTGGTGAGAGAGGTGGGATGAAGAAAGGTTATTGTTAGGAAGAAACAAAGATGGGAAATTGTCATGAAATCCTAATGGAATCATGTGATTTGTGTCTCTATTGTGATCTTGACCTTTGACCTTCTAATAAAAATTAAGGGAAAAAGGGCAATATATATATACACAAATATATGTACAAATTCAAATAAATGAGCAAAACAAAAATAAAATTTGTTTCCGCTCTGCTGATGAAGTCGATGTTAACAGTTATCTTTCTTTCCCTTTCGGCTTGTTTGAGCTAACAATCAAATTTCCATTGAAATCCATGTGGTATCATCCCATTTCTCTCTTTACTGTTCCATCATGCCCTTGAGGCAGGATCATAGTTCAGCTGAACTTCTGAACCGGATTACCTTTTGTGCATGCGTGTATACATAATGTCACACCTTCAATGATCTGACTTCCAGCGGGATAAACAGCATGATTTGTAAGTGCCAATGACTTACACTACTAAGGTTACTATCAGCCATCCTAACTAACCTACTCTAAATATGGGTTGGTGAAGAGTTTAGATGTCAAAATCAATATTCTAAATATTCTTTGAGCTAAGTAAACCCATTAAAGCATGAACGTCAGCAGCTACAGGTAAGATGTGAAGTGTTTGTCGGGCATCAGTCATGGTGGAAGCTGTGTGATGTGTCATGACCTCTGTTGGCAGCATCAGTGCGTGTTGGAATGCAGAAGCAGCAGCTGGTGTCTACACTGTAATTACCCCAAAGCACAAGTGATACCTGACCCAAACATGCACACACATACACATACACCAGCTACACGTACTCACACCACCCCTCTGTAGTCAGAGTTCAGAAAACAAGGGCAAAGGTGAGTGCACACATATTTATATAGACATTTCTCAGCTACACATCCTTCATCTTCCAGTGTATTAGACAGACAGACAGACAGATAGATAGAAATACTGTATGTATTTAGAAAAAATAGACATTAAAACAGACAGACAGACAGACAGATAGATAGATAGATAATACTGTATGTATTTATAAAAAATAGACATTAAAACAGACAGACAGACAGACAGACAGACAGACAGACAGACAGACAGACAGACAGACAGACAGACAGACAGACAGACAGACAGACAGACAGACAGACAGACAGACAGATAGATAGATAGATAGATAGATAGATAGATAGATAGATAATACTGTATTATCTACTTATTAAAACAATAAGACAGACAGACAGACATAGATAATACTGTATGTATTTATAAAAAATAGACATTAAAACAATAAGACAGACAGATAGATAATACTGTATGCATTTATAAAAAATAGACATTAAAACAATAAGACAGACAATACTGTATGTATTTATAAAAAGACATTAAAACAGACAGACAGATAGATAGATAGATAGATAGATAGATAGATAGATAGATAGATAGATAGATACTGTATGTATTTATAAAAATAATAGACATTAAAACAATAAGACAGACAGACAGACAGACAGACAGACATTTTAGTTTTTCAGTATGAGCACAAGATGGTCTTTGCCACATCAGGCGTCAACTTCAAATATTTGGCAAGTTCAGTGGAAGTGTCAGGATTGTCCCATGAAAATGCAGTGACTCTAAACTCACTCCCTAAGCATCCCATTACAGTGAAATGGTGTCTGGCGACAATTCAGCCTTCATAAGAATGAGGATATCACCTCGACATGACTCCTACAGCTTACTGCAACTTCAGATGTGACAGGCTATAGATCACTTTATTTCCTGTTGTTCTCTGGAACATAATCATCCTCACCTCAGGTGCACGTCATTGCCTACTGTACTTTCCTTAAGGGGAATATTCATTCATGAGGAAAATATGAGGGAAAATATCCAGTGAACTGTGATGGGACTTGCTGTTGACCCGAGTTGACTGAATTGGAGTTATACAGAAATTCTTCCCACAGCCTTTGAGTGAATCACAGCAAATGGCAGTGCTGTATTTCTAAAGTCATTCATCAGACACAGATACAGAAGTTGGGTGGGTTTTCAGGGTTCAATAACAGAGTGATTGACATGCTTGAATAAAGAAGAATCAACGCACTGATAATGCTACACCCACTGTCAGCACATCTGCATAAGCTTTTGATGCAGCAAAAACACTTATGAATGAATAGGTTCAGCTCGACTGAGTGTCTACAAAATTTCAGGGAGGACTTGGTGGAGTTCCATGGGTAAATGCACTTTTTAGAGCTAAAATCTAATAGGATTACAAGCACGGTACAGTGGCATCTCAATTCACAAATCTGTCATCAGACCTGATGGTTAGTAGTGATACTGTCACATAATAATAAAGAAGCTTTTCAAATGTCATTCAAACTAGCTTGGCTAACTTCAGGCATTTACATTGTGTTACACATGTTTTTCTAAATAATATTCTGAATTAATTCCTTCATTTCCATTCAAGCAATCGACATATGAATCATCACTCCGTTTCTGGAAAAAATGCTGCGTGAGCAAAATGCACATAAAAGGGTTTCCCAACCTTTTTTGTCCATTGAATCCCTTTGATCTAACCCAGTCATGTGCAGTCCTCCTGGAGAGGCATGTTCTTGTGGAGTTTAGCTCCAACCATATCCTCTCCAGCACACCTTTGTGGAAGGTTCTAGTGACCTTGGAGGCCTTGATTACCAGGTTCAGGTGTTAATTAGGGTTAGAGATCAATCAGTCCGAGATCCGCCATCCGGGATTAGTGTTGCAAATCTCTAATCTTAATTATTTTAATTATATACTTGAAGTACATCCTAAGATTTTTAATGTTGTTGTAACTTTTCAATACACTTAATTATATTTACATTATTTATATAGTAACTTTCTGTATGTTGTTATGTCTTGAAATACATGTAAATATGTAAGATAGCATAATAATAAAAGGCAATATTTGATTGCCTTTTATTATTATAAAAGGCAATCAAAGGCAAACATCTGCCTTTGGATAAAACATTTCTTATTTATTAATATTAATATTAATATTAATATAAATTATAACATAATATATATTTATTAATATTCTAAAACAAAATAAAACATTTCACCGAGTTTGGATAAGTAAGCTCAGTATGAGATGTTTATTTCTGTTATTATCATCTTTTATTCTGAAGACATTGTTTTTCAATTCAATTCAATTCAAGTTTATTTGTATAGCGCTTTTCATGATACAAATCATTGCAAAGCAACTTTACAGCAAATTAAGTTTCTACAATATTTAGTAGTAGCTTATCAGTGGTGACTGTCAGTTAATGTACATATGGCAGAAATGTATGGAAAAAATATTTTGTAACTGATACGGAACTTAATAGGTAGCCAGTGCAGAGACTGTAAAATTGTTTTCACAGGTTCTTTTGCTTATTTATTTTTGCTTATAGACAGAACAATAGAATGGAATAGAATAAATAGAATATATATATATATATATAAATGCATATATATATATATATATATATATATATATACTAAAACACAACAAAGCACAAACATTTCAGTTTGGATAAGTAAGCCCAGTACCAGCTGTTTATTACTCTTATTTTCATCCTTTATTCTGAAGACATTATTTTCTCAGGTTCTTTTGCTTATTTATACAGACAGAACCGGTACAGTATGGCCTGCAGCAATGATCTTGCGAGTTCAGTCTCAGGTCATATTGTTCTATGATTTTCCAGAAATCTGGCTTCCTCCTCAGGCTTCATACCTGTGTTTATGTCTCACCTCTCAAACACTCTCTTCCCACACCCACATATGAACACAGACAATGATACTGACCTGATATTGAACCTGAACTACTTTTCTGTACAGGTGTGTGACAGTTGTTGTGCTTTCTGAATGTGATGAGCTGAAAGCAGGAAAGTCACATTACCCCAGGCTTATAGGCTTCCATTCCAAAAATAAATAATGTGGTGTTTAAAAAGAGGGCTTGATAACATCCACCCAAATAAAAAAAGCTGTTGTTTATAAATATATATAGTTAGTAAGACTTACTTTGATGATTTATTTTGTTAAACAGTCCATTTAAATTTTGCAGATGAATTGCAGTATTGCAAACATAATAACAGACAAAAGAATTTGTTTTTATTATAAGTTGAACACATGGTATAGATGATGCACTCAGGAGACCACACCTTCTGTACCTGCTGTTTATCTCCTTGCGCAGGGTGATATAACGCCCGCCAGGCCTTGGAGGAAGACTTACAGAATGAAAACAGTTATTATAGTTAATGCCTGCTCTCCCTCAACCTGTTCCGTCAGCTACATGCAGCGCCACAGGCTGCGATTACAGCAAGGAAAGAGAGACGGAAACAAAACAAAAAAAACAGGTTTGTGGTTGAAAGTTTTGTGCCGGCTTCTTTGAAACTCCCAGCTCCTGAATCCTGTGGTTTACCTGAGCACTGCTCACCTGCGTCAATGCTGACATCATCACCACGAGGACTGGAACAGGTCAAAGGTGACTTCAGTTCAGGGGAGGTGGCCTTCAACACAGTGTTATCTATTGGTGACAAACGGACATAAACGCTCATGCGCAATATACATGAGGCATTTATTTCAAAGCTTTTCCCTTGACTCTCAAGATAAACACAAATGCATGTTTAGCACTGTACAGAAATATACACAAATATATGTTTAACACTTCACTTCTCCCTTTGGAGAAAAACAACAATCAACATTGGTAAAAAAGGGTCTCTTAAAACAACAGTTCACCCCAAAATTAAAATTCTGCTATTATTCACCCCCCATGTTGATTCAAACCAACATGCTGATATTTTTTTTTTTTCAGTAAAACACCAAAGGCAAAAAAAAAAAAAAAAAAGTCATGAATAAAAGTATGAATCCCAAATCTAATTTATTCACTGATAATATTTATTGAATTTCAAATCAAGTGTCCAATGACCAAACTACTTGTGTGTTGCACAGAAAAAATACCAGCATATGAGTATGATGGAAAAATATTGTCAGTAAAGATTTAAAATCGTAAATAAACGAAAATTGTAATTTTTGAGTGAACCATTTCCAAAACGAAGATTCAGTATCACTGAAATTTGCAGCCATTATTGATTATTAATTGAATGCTAATATATACACTCTGGTGAATGCAATGTCACAGCTCACAAAAAAATAAGACATTTGTTCATAAATGGCAGTAAACACATTCAATTAGTTGTCATAATTGTCAGACATTATGAGAAAAGAGTTAACGAATGAGAATCTGGTCCATTTTCCATTATTTTAAATTAGTCCTGACAGTTAAATCTGTTGAATTGATCCTTTGAGCAGACAGATTTCTTCTGGAAGGCACCTTTAGTCTTTCAGTGAGTCGGAGTATGGCACGAAATTCTGACCATGGTCAAGGAATGTATGTAAACAGGTGTAATATAATGTTTTCAAGGTCTTTGTCTTAGTCACTATCAGCCCCGTTGTGGTCAGTTAATGCTTTTCTTCCAAAAGGTGAACCTATAAAAAAACACAACAATCCATTATGAAGAAAAGGTCTCATTGGGATTCTTGTACAGCAATATATATATAAAAAAAATCTCACGAGTTTGTTGGACACATGAAACATTGATTTCAGCTGAATTTATTTATACTGCAGTTTTTATTATAATTTTATTCACAATACATTTATTATAATAATTACAACAAATAATTATTTATTATGTATTCTTGCATCACAAACAGCAGAGCGTGGTGCTACCAATGTCAAAGTCACGGGTTCGATGAAATATGTATTCAATATAAATCATTTTGGATAAAACATCTGCCAAAAGCATAACAGTAAATGTAAGTGTAAGAAGACTGTTATATAAGAGACATGAAACTATACAAAAACATTTGGCGGCAGGATGCCGTGATCAACCAACCAGAAGTAAGTATTCCAGGGAGTTATGCAATTAGACAGTTTAATAATCTTATGAAATTACAATTCTGTCATGCTCATGTTTACCTGCGGCTGTAAGATTCGCTGGTAGGTGGGGCTGGACAGTTCATCAAGTGTTTCAGCAGCAGGTTTATTAAGTGTCTCCGGCAGAAGAAGCCCCAGGCAGCCCGCGGAAATCCCACTCAAACAGAACACCATAAATGGCATGGAGGTGTGCAATGATTTCTGGACAATTACCAATAAATCAGTACACAATCAATCAATATAATAATAATAATAATGCTGATAAAATATATTTACAATATTAATTAATTTTATATAATTTTCCCACATTATATTAATAACATCTATGAATGCATATATTAACACATTAATAGTTATTAATCACATAAGAAAATATTATTTAGGGGGAAAAATGGCATTTCTTAAGTCAGACAGCTACTTACCATACTCGGCACAAACGGTGCCAGAATTCCCCCAACTCTACAGGACATGGAACACACACCCAGCCCTGCATTCCTAACACACACAAACACACACACTTAACATTAGAATTCACCCAGCACATGCAGTGAGGGACTTTTGGGTTGTACGTTGATTATATAATGGAATACGCCAGAGGGCGCTGTTTGCTCAAGCACAGAATCTTATTCTGTAAGGAACTAAACACATTTTATACAATTAAACACATTTTAATAATCATTTTTATTTAAAATGACAATTGTAAAAGATCTAAAGCACAAAAGACATCACACATGCAGCAAAAGCGTTGGCTGTACCTGATCACGGTTGGGTAGAGCTCTGACGTATACACGTACACAATATTAAATGCAGCACTGACCATCAGTTTTCCCACTAGAGCCAGTGACGTGGCACTTAACAAGGACCCTGAGGAAAGCAAACAACAGGCTTTAGACAACCAAATTAGAAATGCATGATATATGTTTACAGAGAATATTAGCACTACTGGTCAAATTTTGAAATTAGATTTTTTTTAATGTTTTCGTTTATAAATGTTGGTAACAGTTGTTCTACTTAATATTTTTGGTGGAAACCTACCATTCTAAGTCTGGGGTAGGTAAGATTTAAAATAAAAAGGAAGAAAATGTATGTTTTTATTCAGCAATGACACATTATATTCAAAAGTGACAGTAAAGACATTTATGTATATTATTACAAAATATTTTTATTTCAAATACATTTTTTATTTTACTTTTTTATTCATCAAAGAATCTTTAAATAAATGTATCATGGCTTCCACAATAATAATATTAAACATTATTAATAATAATTTGAGTTGATTTATATAATAACTGAGCACCAAATCAGCATATTAGAATGATTTCTAAAGGATCATGTGACATTGAAGACTGGAGTTATGGCTGCTGAAAATTCAGCTTTGCCATCACAGTAATAAATTACATTTCACAATGTAATAATAAAAAAAGTTATTTTAAATGGTAATTATATTTATATAATATTACCGTTTTAACTGATCAAATAAATGCAGCATAAGACACTTCTTTCAAAAACATTTTTAAATGTTAATTATTTAACTTTTGACCAATTGTGTGTGTGTGGACCCAAAATGTATCATTCCTGAAACAATTAATTGCATAAATATCCAAAAATAAACCAAGTGGCATCAAAGCCTAATGTATTTGGAAAGATGATCACCTGATACAGGTACGAACATTGTGAGCAGACAGGATACGCCTGCAAATGCAAGAAAATTGGCCATTGACTTCCTCCGGCCTGCCCTAAAAGAAGAACAAACAAACGCAGTAAGCTAATAATGTGAGAGAGTCTGATACTGCAGCGTGTGGATGTGATCGTGCGAGTGCATTTACCACTGTTTGTTAATGAAGTACATGCAGAGAGGGTATGCAGGGAGTTCCACCAGACCATACATGGCAACGCTAAGGTAACGATTACCTTTATCTTCACTGGCACTGAGAGTCAACCCATAATACACAAGGCTACACGCATACCTGCATTATACACATACACACACAGAATGAGTACATTAAAATGCACAGATCATTGGCATAATACTGTAAGTGAAATAAAGATATAGCTTTTGGAAATATTACAGACGCCTATAAAATACTCACCACACATACATGAGCACCACAGTCCTCCAGCGCAGTATGGGATGTGTGACCAGCTGGAAAACCCCAGGGCTGGATGCATCCGGAGCGCTGGTGCCGACGGCCCGCCGGAGCTTCACTGGAATTCTGCCTTTTCCGTTCCTCACAGCAAAATCCTTCAAGATGTCTTCAGCCTTCTCCATCTGACCCCGAGAATAAAGCCAGCGTGGAGATTCTGGCAAAGTCCTGCCACAGTCATGGAAATTAGCCAGACACATTCTTATTTCTCATGTTCAAGAGACATTATGACATTTTAGGTAAGATTCCAATATGATTTGAACCTTTTGACGGGGGAATATTTTCTGAGAATGTTTTAGATACAGGCTTAATATTTTTCCTGAAGCTTTTTGCCCCATTTATTCAATGGAATACAAGAAAAAGCATAGAAAAGAATGGGAAGAAGGGGAATGAAATCAGAAAATCATGCAAGTCAGACTTGCTTTGCATATGTATTTGCTCTATGACTATTCAGCTAGTAATTACCTTCTGACAATGATATTTGTATAACATGTTTTTTATGTATTTATTATAAGGGCAAAATGTAAAAGTTGTATTTAGTTAATTTAGGCAAATTGTATGGCAAGAACTGGGTAGAACCAGTCATAACAAGAGGACCAATGAAATATCAATAACTTATTTTGTAGTCAGTGTTGCCAATTTAGTGATTTTTTGTCACTACACTTCCTCATCCCTTTAGAGACTTTTTTTGTGACTGACAAATTAAGAAATGTAATAACCTCTTCCACTGAAGTCAATGCTCTAACTGCAGAAATGTAGTAATTACATTTTTTTGGCTGTAAAATTGGAAAAATGCAGCAATGCACCGGTGATGACAGTAATTTCACAAATCGTTTTAGCGCTAAAACTAGCTCCTAAATCTGTGGAACATTAGGAGTAGTGAAGAGGACTCCTAAGTCACTAAGACCAAACCACAAACTAGGCCTATCCTATGGGATCAGATTCCCGCCAAATGTATTGCAGTCACGGATAAAAAAAATAAGCGTGAAACCAAATTTTAAAAAGTTAAATGATATTGCACAAAATAAAAAAATGAAAGCAAAGTTTTCAGAATAGCAAACAATGGTCACGGATCAAAAAAATAATGTGTAAATCAAAAATGTAATAACTCGATATTTAATAATAATAAGAATTAATCAAAACTTTAAACATTTAAAATCATATTGCACAAAACTGAAATATGAATGCAAAATTATTCGAATTGCGCACAAAATCATGTTTTCCTTGCTTATATTTCTCTGTTTTTTGTGCTCTCAGACATTTTCTGCACATATTTTAATTTTTTGTATGCTTATGCTGTTTTTCCCTTCGCTCGTTTCCACGTCCTGCGCTTCTTCTTCCAAATGTTGCGGTTAGTTTCATGTAAATCAGGGCGGGCTTAAGCGTCATCATTGGTCCACTAGTTCTAGTTACCATTAAAACCAGTACAATTCCCATTATAACCAGTAAAACCATTACAAATTCTTTGATAGTTTCTATTGTTTTTTTTCAGCCGGGCTAAAATGGCTGTTGCCAGCAATCTGCCTCGGAACAAACATTTTAGAAACACGCTGCATTTATTTGCACACGTTTTCCCATGCATTTTTTTCTTTTTGGTTTTGGAGGTTATCCCAATTCCAAATTTTCCTTTGGTTATATCCTTGTTTTCATTAACAAGTTAGGCAAGAAGTAACCGCTGTTCTTACGCCCAGTTTGGTTTTCTTTTACATTTGCATGCCTTACTATCAGCCATGTTTATTCTACTGTTTATTAAAAGGCTGTTCATATGCATATTCACTAATTGTTTATGAGAAGCACACATGTAAGAGGCTGACAATTAGCTGAACATATACTTGTTTAATTAGTGACACTTAGCCTGCATTTTTAAACCTTTATTTGAATATGACAGTATAATATTGCACTCTACAATATTTCTATGAATACATTTCTGACAGAGACCCCTATCAGCCAATCACTGTGTGCACTGTTTGTAAGTATGCGGACATCATCCATAGCAACGAGGTCAACCCAGCCCTTTCTCTTAGCTTAAGACTTCTCTCTATTCCTTAGTAAAAGTTGGTCTCAGCAGCTTTGTGAATAGGTTTTAAGAGAAAACTCTTAGCTAAAAACTTTTACTGCTATTTAGAACTCTTAGTGGTAAGATAAAAGGTTTTATGAATACGGGCCCAGATTTTTACAAATTTGAATGATGCATTTATCTTACACAATACGTAAAGTTTGCTAAAATAAGATTACAACAATTCTTACGTTTTAATTTTTTTATTAAATGCAGCAATCCGCAAACATGATTTTCTTGTAATAAGAACCTTATGTCTCTTAAATTTGAGGAAAACACATCTACAAAGAGCACCAATGTTAGTCAACAAACTAAATGCAATAGAAAGAATAAACTTTATACAAACATTTTAAAACAGAATACTTTAAAAATATATTTATTGGTTCAAATATGAAGTGGATCATTTTCTTTTAGCTTTTAAATTAAACATACAAATGTTTAACAAAAACCACAAATTAAACGAGCTCTAAACTCTAATGAAACTAACAGAAAAGGTAACAAAGAAATCACCCTGACGTTAAAACATGATTGAACTGTGACTGAGGAAACAGACACATGAAAGCTAAATACATAGATAAGTCATATTTAAAAAGACATACACGTATAGTTAAAACAATACTCTAAGACATACATGGAAAGAATAAAAACCAGAATATAATTTGTTAATTCTGACACCTGAGTGGTAGTTTAGAACGTGGTGGCGTAGACGTGCTTTCATTCTCCACCTTTGAACGGTTCAGTGACTTATTGCAGTTTTCCTTCTTGCTTTTCTTCTGATCAGACAAAAAAAAAAAAAGAACAAAGTATTGTCAATAATTGGCAATTTTGCTTGAGGGCAAAATATTTCCCAACACAGATTTGGCAATGGGTTCAGTGTTTTTCACGTTGACCGACAGAAAGCTGATTGGTTCAAGTGACTTTTGTGCGAGGTGTGCATCACACATGGCTACATTATTGAAAATATGCAATGGACCTTTTTTTGGCCCAAAAAAATTTCACTAATGTGACCGGACCTTAAGCCTGTGCATGACAATAAATGGGTCCAAATTGTCTCACCTTGAAAAAGGGAACCCTTCCGTTTTCGTAACACATCAGGTTCTCATCAGAGCATGACTGTTCAGTGACATTTCCGTCACTAGAAACACTGACTTCATCCTCCAGAGAGTCCTAAAAACAGAATTGCGGTTACACCAGTCCACACAAGAGCATCTACAGCTTCTTAATAAAATTTAAAAAGCAGACAGTGTTTCCACTGACTAGCTCTGGAATATGGATGGTCAAAACGTATGATCGTAATACCTGGTCGTGAGGTTTCTCCTCTTCTGCCTCTATGACGGTCTCACATTGGCTCAGTGCACACTGAAGCTGCTCCTGCTGAGCTCTGAACTCATCTTCCAGCTCCTCTCGACTCCTCGGCTTGTTCAGCACACGTGGATACACATACTCCTTACGCTGAGGAGTCGTTCCTGCAAAAATACACATCACATCAGTGCCCAGTACACATGGACTACATTCAAAATGTCACATTTCCCTCACAGCTTCTCATGTACCTGTTGGTAAATCTTGCCGCAGCTCAGAGCTGATGAAGTTGTGTACTGTGTCCAGTGCCTGTGTGTTGATGGAGAAGAGGATCTCTTTGTGCTCCTGCAAGGTAGCCGCATCTTTGCCGGTCTGCAATTCCACACGACCCAGGATTCCTTCTACTTCCTGCTGCATGTGACTCAAACGGGCTTCACAGTCTTTAACAGCTTTCTCACCCTTTTCTTCAACAGACTGCATGCACACATAAGAGTAAAAATAAAAGAAAAGAAATAATTCACTTTCTTTAACTTTCTCCATTCAACAGGTTCAGACATAAAGGGCAGTCTTGGCCACATGACAGGAAGCAAGCAAGACTGTCCCAAGCCTGATAAATGCCAAAGCTTAGTGCCCTTAACACACACTAAACGCACAACATTAAGGCTAAGCATATTCCATCACACGTCCCAAAACTTTAGTGCAAGTTAAATAAATGAGAAATTACACACAGCAAAACGTAAAGTGTTGCACTTTTTACTGGTAAAGAGATGAGTTCAATATTTTCATCTACTTTTTCACCACTTAAATAGAAGCATCAATTACTAAATTATGACATCTGTCATGGGGACTGCTGAACAGAAGTTTTATTATTTCATAAGTACAAAGTGTTAAATAAAGCTCTGTAAAGTTGATTTGTTTTATTTATTTTTAGCAAACACTATAACGGGCCATTCACACAGAATACATTTTTCTATTCCACTGCGCTATTTTTCAGTCGTCTTTCTATGTAAACACACTAGACAAACATCTTTGACCATTACACTTTCGACTTTTGCAGCATCCTGTTCATGAAGTGTCCTGAAAAAAAATAAAAACTCGAGACCTGTCTATTTCTTATAAATAAATAAATACACTTCCTGTGTGAATGGCCCCTAGGTGTGTCCCATCAGTTCTACACACACTTGAGGTCTTTACACCCACTTGAACACTTTTGCCAAACACAGGAAATTTGCCATGCAAATAGACAAGCGGTCAAGTGAAAAGACCGCAGATGTGGGCATTTTTGGGACAAGCCCAAACTAACCTTTAGCAGGTCTTGCACAGCTGTGTCTGTCTCCCTGATGAGTATGAGCTGTTCCTGGGCTTTATTCTCAGTTGAACTTCTGGCTTTGTGACACCACTTGAGTCCCGACTCAGCCAATGAGTCCACTGATGTCTGCAGGTGTCTGCAGTAACCAGCACATTCCTCCAGCGTCCTCTCTCCCTCTTCAGTCACTCCATTCAGCTCAGTTATAACGCTATCCACAGAGGAACCCAGCCGAGCACGGACAGATACAGTGTGCTCCTCAGACACAGTGCATTTACTACAATAAAGATGAGATTTGTTAGGGTTTGGTTATAGACTACTTGAAGGCAATTGTTGTGAATGCCCTCTCACCTCTGTATGGTGCTCTGTAGCGTTTCTAGTGGAACAATCTGGGCAGATGCTGCCTGTGCAAGACCCTCAAAGTCAGTCTGAGTGTCCACCGCCAAGAGATTCATTTGGTTCTGCAAACACTGAACCAGTTCGGCCACACGCTGTAGAAAGGAACAATTTAAGCAGTTTTAGAACCCTCTAGTGGACAAAGTGATTTAGGCAAGTTATGAGACCAAATGCTGTCATTATAAGTAAGGTACCTTCAAATTCTCATGTTTAAAAAGTGTTTTTCTTGGTCTAGTTTGGAAAGCGACCGAGGCCTGCTGAGCATTTCAGCATGTACAGAACCAGCCTCCCTGTGGCCAATAGGTGACATTTACAGCACCCACAAAGCTTGTGAACATCTGAGCCAATCAGTTTAAAGAAATGTGATCACTTGGTTTAAACACAAACCTCCTCTTCAAGAAACTGTCTGTGGGAGTAGACTTACTGTCTGATGGTTGTTTCCAGCTTGGCTGATCTGTTGCTTGAGCTTGTCGTGCTCAGCACGCAGAGTGTTGAAGCCTTGCACAGCGCACTCTCGCATACTGGCCAACGAGTCAACATAAGAGTCAAAAAACAACATCATCTCTGCTTTCAGACCCTGCATCTGTAAGAGACATTTTAATTTGACCAATTACAAGTCTCAAAATAGTCAAACTGGCATAAAAACAAATTCTTCTGAAGCATACCTGCTCAGCCAAAGAGTTGTACCTGTGAAGGGTTTGCTTCAGATTGTCATTCATGGCCATGACAGATCTGATACCTGGCACCGCCTGGGAAACCAAAATCTCCTCTAAATGCTGTCTGTGCTCATCCTGCGGGGAAAAAAATAAAATAAAAATCATAATCAAATGTTATTAACCCTCTGGAGCCATGAGGAGTACTTATGATGGATGGATGCACCTTTTTGGGCTTCAAAATCTCGATCACCATAAAGCTGGGAAGAGCCAGGATATTTTTTTACATAACTCCGATTGTATTCATCTGAATGAATAAAGTCATATACACCTAGGATGGCTTGAGGGTGAGTAAATCGTGGGGTAATTTTCATTTTTGGGTGAACTATCACTTTAAACCATAAATCATTCTTTATTTACAGGAAGTAGGAGTGACCATAGCTTTTTCAAAACTTATTTCAAACTAAGTCTATGGGGTCTTTGAATATTTTTGTAAATAATGGAGGGCCTTGGAGTCAAAAAGACTGAGAACAACTACTCATATCTAACACCGTTTACTGCTGTAAGACTCACAGACAGCACCTAACGTCTCCTTAAACACGGTTCCATTTGTATTCAGCAGCTCACCTACACAGAGACATAAACAGACATTAACTTGACTGTTTTCCTGGAGATACTTTCTTGCTGGAAGTGATTTTAAACCCCTCAATAGAGCATATTACATTTTGAGAGTGGAGCCACGTAACGCATCTTACCCACAGAAGAGCGGTAATAGTCAATCATAGCAGCATGTTTGTGGCTCTGCTCCTGCAGTGAGGTCTGCATGCTGTTGTAGCAGTTCTCCATGCGCTGGGCAAAGCTCTGCTGGACCTCCCCGTTATGAAGATCAACTTCCCTCTTCCTTTGCAGCTTAGCATGGAGACCATTAACATCCTGTGTGCTGACCTCAGCAGTGTTCAACAGCTGGATGAGAGAGATCAAGTTAACATTGGTGATGCAATGATAGGATAGTATGCACAAAACAACACATCTGATTCACAGACCTGGTCAGCAGTGTTGTAAAGTTGACACTCATTGCTTTGGAGCTGTGAAGTGACGTACTCCTCTTGAGTGAGGCGGTGCCTGGTCTCAGTTAGGTCCTTGTGAGTCTCCTCCAGTCTCCGGTTCTTGTCCTGCAGGTCCTCAGTGCACTGGTCCAATTTCTGCTTACTGTCTGTAAACAAGTCCATAATCTGCCAACACAAGCACAATTTATCAGATACATCACTCACAAACACACACACTCAAAAGTGGAAGTTGGCAGGACTTGTACACACAGAAAAGCAGAAGTAGAATGGATTTGAAAGACGCTCACCTTTTTGAGCTCCTCCTCCACAGCAGCGATCCGGTCTGTGTACTCCGTAATCTGCTCTTCCTGAGACATCAGTTTACTGTTCATATTCCTGTAAATGGGCAAATAGAATTCGGAATTATCACCTCCAATCAAACTAAATATAAGTCAATTCAAGGAAGAAAAATAATGTTTTCTAAAAAAAATGTTGACTATTTAATGAGGCATCCTGTCAACAGCACAGTTTTTTAAAGAATTTAAGCAAAGACATTAAATTGATCAAGTGACAGGAAAACTGTACGTTGTTACAAAAAATAAAGACAATGTACAATTCACGTGACATTAATGACTGGAGTAATGGCTGTAAAAAAAAAAAAAAAAAAAAAGAGCTGTACCATCACAGGAATAAACTACATTTTAAAATGTAGTAAAATAGAAAAGTCATTTTAAATTCTAATAATATTTAAACCGTTTTTTTGATCAAACAAATGCAGCCTTGGTGAGAATAAAAAATAAATAAATAAAAATAAAGATACATGCAAAACTCACTCATAGTTATCAACAGAGATGTACACTCCATGTTTGTCACGAGTGGCAGCCAAATCTCTTTTCAGTCGCTCAATCTCCTCGGTGTATTCCTACAACATTCATTTTAGAAACATGAATAGGTTGGTCAATGCTGCGTGAACAAGAAGAAATTGGGAATATAGTTCAGGAAATCTTATAAAAATGTACAAACAATCAAGAAACTTGCCTTGATCAGAGTTCTCTTGGTGAGTTTTTGGTTGACCTCTGGCTTATTCATGATACTCTTGGCCCTGTTAGCGTAGTCCAGAGTGCTCAGAGTTTCCTACAATTAAATTATAAATCAATATTCCTAATAACAAGGACAAAATAAGTAAGAAACAGCACAAAGTCTAGCAGCACAAGACACACCTCCAGATTGATGGAGGCAGGAGACACAGTGGCGATAATGGAGGTTTTGGTGCGTCCTCCCAATGAGTCTTGCAGAATACGAGTGAGTTTGGACTCTCTGTAGGGTACGTGAGGCCCTCGCTCCACAAGAGCCTTGATTACACGTCCCAGAGTCAGCAGAGACTGGTTTATGTTGCCTGCTTCACGAGCACGCTTGTCCACGGCACCAGATCGCCCAATGTTCTCACTACCCGCAAGATCCACCTAAACAGAGTAAAACATGAGTTGCTGGTTTTAAAAACACTTCAACACTGATGAACTATTTTTGAACCAGAGTTGTAGATTAAAACACCGTGTCTGAAGAAAGTAAACTCACCAAGTTCAGTTTTCCGATCTTAACCAGCTCTTCTCCATCCAGTGTGATCTCTTTCATGTGAATAGTCACAGAGAACACCGAATGAGATCGACTGGTGGAAAAAAGGAGAAGAGAGAAGTTATAAACCATAAACAAAACACCACAAAGGCATACATGTAGTCTTATCTCCATTTAAATTGGGAAGCATGGATTCAGTTGTTACCTGGAATAAGCATTCATGAGCGTGGAGGCTGTCTTTCTCTTGGCAGCTCCTCTCTCCAGGATCTGATACACCTCGTTCTTATTGTGTACAGTGATCTCCTCCAGACCTTTAATGGTTACACCCCTCTGACAGATATACAGAATGTCTTATTTCAACAAACATAAACACATAGCATTTTTAAAAGGAATTGTCTATGGATATTATCAGTATAATACATTTCAGAAAGCAAAAAAGCATACTTTATTTCTGGGATCATCAAACAGTTGAAGTCTCTCGGTGACATCTGGAGCAGGGCTGAGAAGGTCAAACAGTTCCTCATTATAGATTTCCAGCAGAGAAACCTTCACAGAGAACTCTGTGCCATTATTGGTCAGTTTCTCGAAGATCTGATGAAGAGTTCTGGGAATGATTCCAGCCAGAGGGTCCTGTAAGAGAAACCATGAAAGAAATAAGGAAGGAGGGAAAAACCCTGATCAATCCCTGAGCAAATCATATCTTGCAAATAATGGCATCTATATTGTGGCCCAATAGTAAAACCTCAATAAACAAGCAGTTATTTCTTCATTTCAAATGCAATATGCAAGAGCACAACACATTATCATTATTCTCAAAGGTAAAGTTGTAAATACAAGCAACTTATTCAGAGAGAGTCAAAATGAGGACTTAAAGGGGTCATATGATGCTGCTAAAAAGAACATTATTTTGTGTATTTGGTGTAATGAAATGCTGTTTAAGGTTAAAAAAACACATTATTTTCCACATACTGTACATTGTTTCTCCTCTATGCCCCACCTTTCTGAAACGCGTCGATTTTTACAAAGCTCATCGGTCTGAAAAAGCAAGGTGTGCTCTGATTGGCCAGCTATCCAGTGCGTTGTGATAGGCCAAAATCCTCAAGCGTGTAACGGAAATGTTACATCCCTTACCATTTTGTGATGCCTGTGGCAACCACATGTGACGACCCCGGGCTGGACTCCG